AGAAAACAGTAAGGAAGTAGAAGCCAAGGAGCTCCGTGAACACAGAGCGGAGTTTCCCATGGGGGCGTTTGTCACATTCATTGACTTTGGTGTCTACAACTGCACAGACCTGACCAAAGTTTCTCCTGCAGTTGGGTATCTAAGATCTCCAAAGAGATTTTCAGGTGCCTTGTGCATGAATTTGCTTTGTCACTGTTCCCACAGCCAGGCCCCACACAGAACATCTTCTTCCTTTAACTCATGGCTATTCCCATGACACCTGAAGGAATTTAAGCATCTCCAAGATGTCCACTTCCCTTATGGACCTCTCAAGTTATCAGAAAGGACATGTTCAGAGAACAGCACAGCATTTGCTTGGGCTCAGGTCATGAAAAGAAAGGGATAAGCCCCAATTAATATTTTAAGCTTAACACGTGCTGATTGGTGTCACTAAAACTAAGCTCCTCACAGAACTGCTCTGCTTTCCCTTCCACCGGGGCTCCACAGTTTCTCAGACAGAATTAGGCTACAATGTTCACAAGGCTCAAGAAGGAAGAGCATCCTCAACAAAGAGTCAATCCAACGATCTCCTCACTGCTCCTCTCCTCCAGCTGTCCCACCTGCCTGGACCTCTTCTGCAGACTCCCTTGATGGGTTCTCCTCTTTGCTGTTGAGGGACTTCCCTTGCCCAAACACAAGGAACCCAGTCCCAGCTCCTCATTCACAGACCCTCTCATAGMACCAGACCATGAGCATCCCAGGAAAAGGAGTGGTTTCTCCTAGGAARTCCCCATGGACATCTCATGCACCACCTCACCGTAGCAAGCACAAGCAAACACAACATCTGAAGCAAAAGGATACGCTTTGAACTCTTTCAGTAAAGCAGATATTGCAAAAAGGGCAAATTATTCTGAATGTCTAACTGAGCAGGCAAGGAGAAGTAGCTCTTCTTATAAAACTCATGAAAAACAAGCCTTCGGTGAACGCTAATTTTCTCTTTTGCCATTAGTTGAGAGCGAAGAAGGAAGGAACCATTAAAAAACTGTTTACACTGTGAAAAAGAGAGCAYAAATAAAGCGGGAACAATGATGATAATGAGCAAGAGGCTGAGAATCAGCAGGCAGCCGCTCACATAAAACCCTCAGCAACAAAAACCCATTTGGTGGCCAAGCAGCACATGCAGTTGCCACCACTAACACAAGTAGGTACTTGGGCAGGCCGTGCTTTTTATATGAATTGCAACAGGCTCTCTGGAAAATAAAGGCTTCTTTGCACGTTACAGTCCTTAACCACCTCCAAAACCCAGCAAAATCCAATGCAGTCACCAGTCCAAGGCAGTGCCAGCTTTGGAATAGGGTTGGAAGTGAGGAACCTCAACAACAGAGCATGGAGGACTGCCCACAACCAGCATTGACTCATGAACACCTCTAATAAAATGATCAGTAGCATCTACCACTTCCTAGACCACATCTGCACTTGCTACTAAGTTGGTATAGGTGTAATTAATCTCTAATTTAGGGCAAGAAAAGGCACATGCTATTATACCTCTGAGGCTGCCACACCATGAACCAGCCTCCAGCAACACCAAAAAATATCAGAAATATCCAAAAAGGGAGAACTTCACAGGGAAAACATCTTGTAAAACACAGTTTTCCAAGGGTAAACCCGCCGATATTTTTCCTGCACAGCTGACATTGCTACTTTGTCCTGTCTGCAAGTTGAAAAAAAAGGAGATTTCTCTATTAAAAAGAGAAATCTATCTATTAAAAAGAGAAATTCTATCTAGGTAGAGGCCTCGCCTGTCACTTTTACAACTTTATTGTTTCTAGGGACTCTTGCTCTTCAAGCCCAAACCCTGGCTTTGCTGCTAAACTGCACTTAGACAATCTAGCCTGAAAAAAGCCAGAAATTCAGGCCCTATCACAAGCTTAAGCCAAAATCAAAGGCCCACAAAGGGCAAAATCAAAAGCTGCCTTGTGCCAACTCTGTTCTCTGGGCAGCCAAGCAGGACTAACTAACACTTTTCTTGCCCACTGGCCTTTCTTGGCACAATAAATCAGAAGATATGGAGACCTGGGAGCACCATCATGCTGCTTCAGCAACAAGAGGAATCCAGTGCTCAAGTAGATCTTCAATACTCATCTGCCTGGCAAGGTTTCATCACCTCATTTCATCTTCCTCCTAGTTATAGGAAATAACTTCTTCCCAATCCTTCTTCTCCAATCCTTCTTCTCACTCCTGATTCTTATTCTTCTTCCCRATCCTTCTCTTCTTGCTCCTGATTATTCTTCATGGCAGCAACATTCAGACCTGTAGAAGCTCAGACCCAATGGTCAACCCAACGGTTTCATTGCGCCATGGACTGACCTTCATGGGATGACTGGAAAGACACATCCCTACTCCATACATCATAGTACTTTAAGGTACATAGGGGAAGGAGGCTCATTTCCTTCCACTGCCACCTCCAGCAGTGTTCACAAAGGACCCAATCTCTTTCCAGGAAATGAAAATCCCCATGAAGCAAGAACAGGCAAATCCCAGAAGCTTTTCCAAAGGTTACAGGATTTGTGATTACTGTGATTACTGGCCCAGAGAGAGGGAGGAGGAGAACCCAACCAAAATCTAAAGTCTTGAGGGGTTCCAGGTCCAGAAAGTCACATTTTGTCCATGTTTTCCAAGACATGTAGGTGAGTAGTATGTTCCTAATTCAGAGGGGTTCTTACTGATGCAGCTCTGTGTCATTGACCACACCCAAACACAGGGCAACAACCCACATGTCCAGACTAGATAAGGGGCCRCATTTTAAAACATTAACCATGTTCTATCATGACCCAATTCCCTCCTCTAAACGTGGTCAAAAAGAAACAAGGGAACATGAATCCTCCTGTCCTTGATGTCAACATCATTAGAAGCCATCAGGAACAAGTGGCGGATATTTCACTTCACATTTCAAATTATCATACTAAATTCCAAAGGATTTGGGGACTCGCATAGTTTAGACATACAGAAATTATCTTCTACATGATGTTCTCCAAAGGAAAACCCATCTTTYAGAACAGAGATGGCAATTTAAGAAAACTTAAGATCTGCAAACAACAGATCTGCTCATACAGTAAACGGGGAAGTGGGGCAGCCTTTCACAGCAAGTGCTATCCAACACTTGCTAGCAAGATCCTTTATTTTAATTTGGGATTTGGCACATTCCAAACCCAATGAAGACCCAACGGACCCCACAAAATGGACATAAATGGTCATAAGACTAAAAATCATAAGTTGTCCATGTGTTCTGAGGTTAACGGAGCAAATTTACGCAACGCAAGCACAGTCACCACGTGCCAAGTTCCACTCAGAGACACTGCCTAAAAAGCAGCCTAATGAAAAAGGCTGAATTTAAAAATATTTACATCAAACCAAACTGCTACACAGATAAGAGAGCTATTTATAGATATATAGATGGATTTTCCATGCAAACAGTGATTAACTGTTTAATTACTGGAATCTCACTTAGGATGGTGGGGGCAGAAGGAGTAGGAAGRCAGGCAGCTGAGCAGGAGGCAATCTCAGCACACTAAGTTAACAGACTGGGCACATCCACATTGAGGAATTTAATTCACTTTCTTCTTCTGTCTTTTGATTTCTGCCAACACTGTTTGTCATCATCACTAAAACCAGTAGGATAAGGCTCAGTTCAAGATAAAAGACACCCAGAAGGAAACGTCCATGGTGGCTGCTGAGATCCTTCTTGGTGTAGAACCTGSAAAACCAGATGGGCCTCAAGGGGACAACTAGTCGGCCACATTTCTATGGGTCCCATCAGGTCTACGCGCAAGATCTCTCCCTACTGTGCTGGGGACTCACAAAACCAGCACTCACACACACCTTAAGTTTAATTTCTTAATCAAAATCCCACCTAAATGCTCCCAACTCTCATCATATTTAGCCYCTGGGACCAGAAGTCCCCATTCTCATGCAAACACTTAACAACATACTATCATTAATGAAAAAAAAAYCTCATTTTGCAGGTTTTGCATCAATGCCACTCCCACGTCTCCAACCTCTCATCAATTAAGCCCCCACATTTACTTTTTCTTTATTTCTCCTCCGCTTCAGGAGAAGCATCAAGGTCCATTTTTATCCCTTTATCCTTCTTTCTAGCAGGTTATTCAACAGAAAGGGGAGAAGAGAAATGGAGAGGAGCTTCTGTCTCCTGTCCTCAGTCTAGTTTTGTTCTGCACCCAAAGAGACAGCAGAAGGGCCATCAATCCACATATGCTGTTACACTAATAGTATAACCCATTTGATTGTCTTATATATGAGATCTTAACCAGTTGATGGATAGGCAATGTACCTAAAAAAAGAAATATGTAAGACCGAATCTGGCCCAAACTATAAATAGACACTGCAAAGGTCATGATTAAAAGCAATAACTCTTGCTTTCTGTTACGAAAGGCAGCAACATGAGCTATGAGAAAACTATCTACAGGCAAATGATAGAAATAGGAATCACGCTTTTACCAACCCATTGGCTTTGAACCAGGTAGTAAAAATAAGGAGAATTGTCTTGAGTAGTGTACAAAGACTGACAAACACTAAAAAATCCCTGTAACTCCTGCCTTTCTTTATAAGAGCAGCACCAAGCTACTATATATTTTATTTCAGCTTGCCAACCACCTTAGATTTATTGACTTTATAAGTGAACACAACGTACAGTGTTGCTGGAGTTGCAGCTTATGCGTTTCTCGCCTGCTTTAAGGGCAGTGCAATTCTGCATTAAGGCTCCTTTGATATTAATAATAGTCACATCCGTAGTAGACGCCAGCACTTTTTAAACTGCTCTTGGAGCCTCCGCGATGCGGCGGCGCTTGCCCTCACCCTCCACTGCCAAAACTTTGCAGGCTGTGGAAGGAATAGGGAAAAAAAAAAGAAAAGAAGTTGCTCAGAGGGGAATCTGAACTAAAAATCAACGATTTTAGTTGCAACAACTTGGGGGCAAGTGTGAAACACGGCTGAGATGCTGATACCTCTTGTGTAGGAACGTCCTTCCGATGAGGCTGGTCCAGACAGTAACGGGCCTATGGCTGCAGAGCAGGTGGAGTCCTCAGAGCATTCCCCAATTCTGCAACTGTGACCAAAAAAAAAGAGAAAAAGAGGGAGAAGGGTGACGATTTAGGCACGAATCTGTCCAAGTGTCGCTCTTCCCAGTGGGAGCAACRGTGGGATGCAAAGGGTCCAACGCAACGTTTCCTACTTGCACCAATGGCTAAGCATCATTACTGCCTCTCTTGCCATCTAAAACTCCATTTGCAGTGTCCTGAAAATATGATTTCTTCTTACACCATTGCAGAGGAGGTGGAAACATGCATTTTTCTCCCAATTTGCCTCTTCAAGGCAAGATTCTGCCATGAGATGCTCCTGCTCAATGCCTTTGGGCAAGAACTTGCATGGCGTTTCTTGCACAAAGACTACGCAAACTTCAAGCTCACATTTCTCCTACGTTCTGTTGAGCAGAACGGAATAGAAATTGCACAGAACAGAACCAGCATCGGAAGCAGCTGAAGGCAGAAGTAGGATCTCCTCTGCTTTCAAAGGGAAGAAAATAAAGGCCTTCAATCTTTCACTTAAATCCCTTTTCACCAGCTCTTTGTCAGGCCCTTGGGACAAACAAAAGTCAAGCCCACGTTTTACACTGCAATCTCACGTCCTCCCTTCTTGGGCAATGAAAAAGAGTCCGAGAACTGAAGCTGAAATATCCAAAATTAAGCCCAGAACCCSCTGTGAGCAGCTCCTAGGTGCATTACACATTATAGGGAGGAACAGAAAACCTACTGTTTCCCAAGCAGCTCTTCCACCAGGAGCCACATTCCTTGTAATGGTTGTTTATTTTAGTCAAGCCAGGACCTAAAGATTTATATTAAATGCTTTTCATTGCCTCTAACCCCCGACCCAGTATCAGCTCACAGTTACTCAAAGCACAGCCTTGGGCAGAAAAGAGGTTGCAGACTACGTCAGTTCAAGTCAAACAAGGGGGAATTTCCTTGCACTTGCCAACCTGGTCCACCTTTAAGAGTATAAGGGATGCATCCACTCTAGGAGTGTTTTATTTTTATTTTTCCATTTTATAACAAGAATATTTGCTGCTCGGACAGCACGTATTTACGCATTTCTGTCTTGCCTTCCCCCCTTCCGAAAGCTCCCCCCCTTCAAAGTCACTGGGAACTCCGAAATACAAATAAACAAGCTCTGAGAGAGAAAGAAAACGCACGCGGTGAATTCCAGCCGAAATGACGACTTGACAAATCCCATCACATCACGCTCCGCGGCAGCGCATTCGTCTCTCTGGGAGCACATTTTGTACTCGGAGCAGCCTCGCTGCTTCTGGAGGTACCAAATATAACCCAGCCCCATTCCAACTTCCTTCCAGGAATACACACGCTCATTTCTCAAGCCGACGTGGGCTGCAGTTTGAGGTCCAAAAAGCTGCAGGAACATTTTCTTGAAATTAAACAAATGGCTCCTTTTGCAGCAGGAAAGGGGCAGAAAATGAAAACCAGGCCAAGCTGGCGGGGAGGAAACCACCTCCTTGGAGCCTTCAGGTTCTCCTCCATCCACGTACAATTCATCTCCTGACAAGGCTTTGCTAGGTGCACATCGTGCTTGGTGGGCAACCATGGGGCCAGAGATCCTTCTTGTGAAGGGCTGGTGGAGGGTGAGGTGTGAGGGTGCCACAGCACTGGACGGGGTTGTCCAGAGAGCTTGTGGGGTCTCTTGCTCTGGGGATATTGCAAACCCACCTGAGTGTGGTGCTGGGCAAGGTGCTCTGGGTGATCCTGCTTGAGCAAAGGGTTGGACTAGGTGATCTCAGTGGTGGCCAGTGACAGGACAAGGGGCAATGGGTGCAAGTTGAAACACAGGAATTGCCATCTCCATATGAGGAGGAACTTCTTTACTGTGAGAGTGACAGAGCCCTGGAACAGGCTGCCAGGGAGGCTTTGGAGTCTCCTTCTCTGGAGGTCTTCAAAACCCACCTGGATGCCACCCTGTGCTCCGTGCTCTGGGTGTCCCTGCTGGAGCAGGGGGTTGGACTAGATSATCTCTAGAGGTCCCTRTCAACCTTAACCATTCTGTGATTCTGTGATCTCCAGAGGTCCCTGCCAACCTCAACAATCCCATGTGATTCTTTCCCCTGATTCACCACCTCCAAGCTACAGTTCTTTGCCATTACTATGTCATTTAACAGGGGCAACTTGAGAGAGAAATGCACCTGATGTCCAAGTTTCACATCATTTCTGCATCTTTACTGTTGTATGGCCAAGGAAGTCCAAGCAGGGCTTTCAGGCGCTGCCTCCCTTCAGCAGTTGGCCAGAATTGCTCTAATCCTTCCTGCAGAAGGGACTGTCACCAAGTCCCCGAGCTCACCTCTAGTTTAACCTTGTTGGCAGGACCTTTCTGCAGCTCCATCAGCAGCAGGACCTCCTTGGACCAGAACATTGCAGAGCCACCGAGCAGCAACCTCTGGGAGGATACCAAGAAGTCAAAATCCAGGCAGAAATGGCCAGAATTTAAGAGAACTAGATCTGAGGAGCACAGAACAAGACCAGGTGCATGTGGATTTCTGTCTGGGGCTCAGCACGGAGCAAGGCAGAAATGTAACTCAAGCTGTGCTGAACTCATCACTGTACTCGGCGTGACATACAGGGAGAAGTACAAAGATATTTATTAGAAAATTGGCAACGCAAACTATTGTTGAAAGRGTGAAAAGTGACAGCGGAGGAATTGCTTCAGTGAATTTGGAAAAAATAATAGAAAGAGATACCATATTGGCTAGAACAATTGAGTCCCTCAAGACTGAGACCTCCAACTAGCACAGCTATGTCCTCCAGAGCCCCCGGGATGGCCCATGGTTCTGTCCCACCAGCAACCCAAGTACAAGTGGACCAAGAGGAGCAGCAGCTAYGGACACCTCTGCCACTCTCCAAAGTCATTCCCCAAATCAGCTGGAGAATTAACAGAGGGAACAAAGCTTAGCAAAGGGAACAAACTCCTTTTAGTAAGGTAGCTAATGCACCTACCGCGGATATTAAATCAAACCACTGCCTTTTTAACTGCCACCCCAAACCACTGCAAGGCTTTCAGTACACACCTGAGGAAACTATGCGCCACTCCCCAAAGAGCCGCTCGGGACTTTCGTTTGAAGCTCCCACGAGGCAAAAGATTTAGTTATCCAGCCCCAAAATCCCTGGCAAGGTGATGCTTTCACTGCTTCATCATAGAAAAGTTATAGGGAAGGARGAGAAGGTTCATCTCCTTCATCCTCCCGAGCTTGGCCTGGCTGTAGGATCGGGGTACTTGGGTTATAAAATTAATTGGAGTGTACTCTGAGGTAAAAATGCAACCGAATAGGGTCTGATGGTACTTGGTGGGAGCCAGAGCAGCTAGACACTTGTCTACCTTTAAATTCTGCCCCATAACTTCTCTCATTGAGCCCTCCAACAGGCTTTGAAGCAAGGAGAAGCAAGGAGAATCTCCAGAGCGCCAGGAGAGAAAGTCGAGGCTCTTTTTAAGCCAACTCAGAAAGGCAAGACGATGGCAAGACGATGAGAGGAGCCCATTCCTTCTAATTAGGGAAGTGAGGATTTACTGCCAACAGCTCTGCAGTTGCCCCATGGCACCAACCACCAACTCTGCACCAGCCCTTGCCTTCTACACTCCCAAAGCTCAACCCCATCTTCTCCTTGCCCTTCAGGCAACAGTTGTGTCCTCAAGGGGAGCCTCCCTCACCCTGGGCAGGCAAAATCCATCAAAGGACACAAAACTTGATGCTCGAGTTGTTTAGGTCCCATTTTCAACAATATTTCAAAACTTGAGGCACTGAAATGGGATTCGTGATTAATCATTCTCTCTGGAGCAATTTATATATTCCAAAACACTTAGAGGTTTCCAAGTTACAGACAGCTTTGCAATCAAAAGACAACAATTTAATTATCTTCAGATTAACAATAATTGAGCAGTTTACTGCACTACTGGCAATCCTAAATCCTTAAAATCAAACACGTGAGAGTTCTGTTTTTAAAAAACTATATTGTGATATACTGAGTGATATATTGAGAGAAAAAAAAAAAGAGCTAAAGCTTATAGATATAGCTGCCTTAGTTTGACCTTTATCTTTATATTTAAAAAAATAGGGAAAAACATCTTAATGCAAGCCTTAATAGCATTTAAAATGAGGTATTAATGGGAATAAGACAATCTATTCAGCTATTATAAAAAACACCATTGCAGTGTTTTATTGAAAGGGAAAATAAAATCATGAAGCCTTTTAGTCACTCGGGGACAGTAATGGAAGGATGTAACTTAAAGGCAGTAAAAGGTACTGAGTTGGCAGCAAGGACCTAAAATAGGCTGGATACCAGAGAAAATGGGAGCAGATCTGATTTTAATGAGGAACTAAATTAATAGGTCCAAAGAAGTGGGCAGATTGTTAATGAACATGCACAGATTATGCAGAACAGAGCAGTAGTATTTTAAAAAAACGRAAAAAAAAAATCAAACGAGATCCATCTGGAGAAACTGGAAACCAAAACAACTGTGGAAATACCTGTTAATGTCAACACTCAGCACGGAAGGCAGTAACTTGGAAACCTGAATGGAAAGAAGTCATTCTGGAAGACGGAAGGCAGCACGGAAAGCTTCGTCTTGAAGGGCCTCCAAGGCCTTTTTGATACAGAACATATCAGTGTAATGAAAAGGGAAGAAAAGAAAGGATGCTCCTTAGAGCTAATCAAGAAAGTTGGGCATCACCTGTCCTTCAGACACATCTTGTTGTTTCCAAAAATTATGGACTTAGAGCCCAACTTATGGTTGGACTCGATGACCTTGCGGTTCGACACAATGATCTTGAAGGTCTTTTCAAACTGCAATGATTCTATCACTCGATGATATATAAAGTACTTCAATAAAAAAACAAGTATTTAACTTAAAACTCTCCATCCTTGAATGCTCTGAATATGTTCATAAACTGAAACCGCCGTTTTGGTTCTTCCTGATCCCTTCCACCTCCAAACCTCCTTAGGATCAAGTTGAATTGGGGATTCTTGACCACATTCCCCTTTGAAGTCACT